AGACTTAGTTGATTAAATTTTTCCGATCATTTAGGATGCGCTGGCGTTCTAGTCTTCCATTCTTGCGTTTTCATTTTGTTGTTGTACTCACGTTGAATTCACTCCGCGAGAGCTGACATGTATAATCTTTTCGTGTTGCTGCGTGTTATCTCGGTATCTACGTCTATTACTTCTATCATGCTTTGAAGGCATGTGCGCGCTAGCGGCTTTAATGAGGAAGTGACTTCCAACGTGTCACTCTCCGTTATTTGTACACGAGCAACCGACGTCACAATGTAATAGCTTGCTTAGACGTTTGTCCTTTCCCGGAGGCTCTTGTGTCCCTGCTATATTATATATAATATAATGCAATATTATATATATAATTAATGTAATAATATTATAAAATTATAAAATTAAAATTAAATATTACTACATTAAAATTAAAATATTATAAAATATGTAATCTTTAATAAGCGCTCTCAAAAGTACAAGTAAAATTTCAGTATTTAGTTATAATTTTGGATTCCATGGATAGACACAATTGTTCACTAGAGCGGTGATTTTGACTAACAATTTATAACTGAGCGCACGAGAAATTGACAATTGAATGAATTCTCAATTTTTAATTGATTTTGAAAGGGAGGGATGTGGGTCTTCGTACTCTGACAATGAGTAAGCAATCTAGAATCAATTGTTTTCTAGTTTAAAGTTCTGTTTGAGAAAAAACAATGTGACTCACAAATAGCCATCCGAACAATAATTTTCAAAAAAGTGCTATATACTTTAAAGCACAATCGAATGAAACGTATCTGATTAACTTTCAACACTAGATTTCTACATTTTATGCACTATAAATTTAAATATTATGAAATAAATATTATACTTTCCTAATATTTCTCCTTTACCAGTATTATATATATATATTTATAAAAGAAAATTCTGGAAATGTGACAAAACTTTGTTAACATAATATGTCATGTTAAAATTGTTAGTTTGGAAGATTCGAAAGTTAATTTTAATTTTGTGAAAGACAGAAGCAATGCGTTCATATTATCCTTTTCGCTGAACGATTCTGTATAATAAACAGAATATTATTTTGTATTTTATTTCTGTTTAAGATCACGTTTAAAATTGTTTCGTCAGGAGAGTCGTCTCAAGATACTCGTGAAGTATCTTAAGCTTCGAAAGCTAAAATTAGAAGCAAACGTAAGAATATTAATAAGAGGATCGTCGAGAAATATTGTAGGAGGAGAATTGTCTCAAAATTGAAAGCTAAAAATTAATAGAAAACGTAACTACAATGGTACAAGTGTGAAAGATAAGTATAATACATTCAGAAGCTTTCGTTTTCCGTTTCCAATCTATTTTTCGATCTTCGTTTTCGCAGAGGGTACGTACAACTAAAACGGTGCTACGACGATGAGGCGAATTAATCCTCGATATCGATTCCGTAATCTATGTCAGATTACTTAATGGGATGACCCCCGCGGCTATTTCCGTGTATGTCAGCCATCGAAGTTCATCAGACATAAGCACACATGTTTAAAATCGATGCGCTAATGCTAGGACTGATGTATTTTCTTTTTTTATCTGTCTGTTCCCCCCCCCCCTCTCTCTTTTCTCTTTTACTGTCTTTTTTTCTCTCGAACGTCGAAGTCGATTCAGAGACGATGAAAATGCATCGAGCTTAATGGTTGACAACGTGCCAGCAGCTTGATAACAAATGTTGCCACCGTTTTTCGATCCATTAAAAAGAAATTCTCTACGTCATCTTGGAGTATCTTGAAAAAACTGTCACAAATTTTTTTCAGAAAATAATTTATGTCGTTTTACATCCAGTCGTGGACACATTTCGTGTAAAACATGTCGGAAATATTTGAGCAGTATTTGAATTATTTATTTCGTTTGGCAATGATGCATATAGCATTATATGTTGAAAATATTTATTTGAAACGGGAATCATTAATTAAAATTAATTAATGCAAGTGCTAAATTTGCATTAATCGTTTTAAATGTTGTCCTTCACGATTGCTATTTCGGAAGGAACTACTTGCCTTCAGTAATGTAGACATTTCAGACAAACAGGCAACTTTATAGTAGCCTCATGATTACTTCTGCGAAACTATGTATCCTCTACTCTCTACACTGGGGGCGCCGAAATTGGTGTTTAGGGACAATGATTGTGCATTGTTCTGATTCCTACGCAACCTTTATCACAAGTTATTTCAACAATATTAAATTTTATATAATTGTATATATAAACGAAATCAACACGTGACCATTTAAAGTTACAAAAACTATTATTAGACGCGTCTAATTATTATTATTATTATTAATGTAATTTAAATTTATGAACAGTCTAGATTATCAATATCAGGCATCATCTTTGAAATTAAATTTCATTTTATCTTATTTGTTGAACATTTTTAAAGACCATTTTATTGTAATTTTGCAAATATAAAAATTCCATCAGATATTTCATTACGCGTACAACGAGAGGAATATTTATTTCAAATTTATCCTGAGGAACATATAATTAAAATATTTGCAAAATCAAATATCTCAAATAATATAATTCAATCAATATAAAAATAAGCAATTATCTCAAATTAAATAAATAATCTCTATAGCTGTGGGAATCAATCTCTATAAACATTTTAATTTTTGCAAATACTGTTTTGCCCAACACTGTTTGTTTCATACAGATTTGATCTTTTTTTTTTCATACAATATTATCGTTTCAATTATTTGTGTTTCTCTGTTCCATTTTCTTTTTGTCTTCTTTTTGTTTTTTTTTTTCTCTTGGGAAACGACAGACGAAACGGAAGATCAACACGCGGCATGATAAGATAGACAGTTCCAGATGGTCGGAAATTTTTCATAGCTTGTGAGAAGTCACGGCAGCTTTCGCACGATTCGTGAGTTAAATTTCTTTAATAACGCAAACGATGTTCTGACGTGGCGATTATTTTTGTTTTAGAACGGAGCTTATTTTGTTACTATGAACGCGTCGAATTATTTCGATGAATTTTAAACGCCAGCTGGTCGATCCATAAGAAGGAATATTCCTTTACTCGCTTTCGATAAACGTGTTGAAAATGTTCATCGATAACATTCCGCAATCTAAATATTACGATTAACAGAGTGATAAGGGAACACATATTGGGCGAGGAACACTAGAACGCAAAATTTGTGTAAATTTAAGGATTAAAAAAACTATATGGAATCTTAAACGTTAATAATGGACGTCTCTGATCGAACCAGTGAACCACATGATGAAAAGTTTCAATCGAAATTTTTCTATATATAACTTTTCATGCACATAATGTACAAAAATGTATAAAATATTGTACTTATTTATAGACTAATCGTTTCTATTCGTATGCTTTAATATTAAAATAAATTATACGAAAACTTATACATATAAAAAGGGGAGTCCTTTTTGGCGAAATTTAGATATAATAACTTTGTATACATAATAAGAACTTGTGAAAATAAAAAGAAGTGTTTTCATAAGTTTTTATATACGAAGTTATTTTTAAATTTTGCCAAAGAAAAATACATCTTCCTTTAATTTTTAGAAGTTCTTTCGAGTACACAAATAGGAACAGGCACACTAACACGAACACTTGCCCTAATAATTCACGAATGAGACGAATTTCAATGAATTTAAACTCTAATTATAGTTTCTGTGAATGATGATAGTTTTTGCGAGTAAATCGCTAAACGTTCTCCCAGCGAATCCACTTGTTTGATCGGGATGCACGATATCGAAACACACACGTAATATCGGACTTCTCGCGATAAGACGAATCGGCGAGTATCGCCGATCTGCACGAACATCGAGCGATTTTTGCTCGTACAGCCATGATCCACCGGTCAGATACGCTTCCAACCAGACCATTTTCCAGCGGGTAACATAATTGCCGTTGCCACGTGTGATACATGGCTACCATTTCTCGGCTGTAGCCGCGAAACGACGATTCCGTCTCACCGGTCAACTCGCAGGATCAAAGATAAAACGGACCGTCGATGCGTGCTTGTCCCTCGTTTATTTCCTGCACCGCTTCCAAAAGGATTGATTTTATTTTTATTTTGATATACATACAGAGTGTCGCTATGATCCTGATACGATCGGCTGAGAGGGGATGATTCTACGCGCAAGATTAAGTCCAGAAGAAAGAAAAACTTTCTTTTCATTTGGTTTCCCTTCTTCAGACAATCGAATTTGGAAAGTTTATCAAGTTAGACGCAGCTAATTCCTGGCTAGCAGGGAATGAATAATGAACGGGAGGTTACTCTACTTACAGAAGTAGGTCAAAAGCTTGGAATACAATTTTTTCGCGAGACGAAATGTTTTTGAGGAAATTAAATTTACTGAAATTCATTAAGCACATATTTGTTGATATTCTTAACTAAATATTCCCGTTTAAACTCTGTTCTTCTTGAAAATAATATCTCAAACGGAAAATTCTTGTCTTTGTGTCACTTTCGCGGATACTTTCTATCGATTATTCGCTCGTGTTCGATATACAGTTAGTCAAGTTCAAGTAAATTCAGTTTTCTCGGAAATGGAGTCGTATGTGAAAAAAATTTCATCCCTACGTTATGATTTACTTTCGCACAGTAATAATACTGAAAACATTAGACTGAGAGCATTAAGAGACGAGGAGAATGTTTAAATGATCTTCAGTTCGGAAATATCAGATTTATACGACAGAAATGTCACGTAAATGAGGAAAGTACGGGAAATGAAGAGATATCTGGAATACTTATAAAATCAAATACGTTATATATCTCCAATTTGCTACGAACGAAAAGCTTCTATTAATGCCGATAATGATGTTTCATCGATTATAAATATTAATTTAACGTATCACGTGATATATAATTATTACCAATTATATATCTATATTTCTAACATTAAAATGAAACGTTTAATCACTATATGCATAATCCTACGCATGCGTTTGTTAATTCTATACATGTAATTGCTTTTATTACTTGAAAATGAGTATTTTACAATTTTAATTGTTCGCGAATATTAAAATTCTCAAACGAGAATCTAAAATCTAAGAGAACGAAGGAGAGAAAGAGAAAGAGAGAGAGAGAAAGAAGAGGTGCTGATGACGGAGCAGAAGCAGAGGCGTTATCGAGCGACAGGAACTCCAGCTTCCTCTCTCTCTCTCTCTCTCTCTCTCTCTCTCTCTCACTCACTCACCCACTCACTCACTCACCCACTCACTCACTCGCTTTCTCTAATTATCATTCCCTCATTTTCCATCGTCGTCTCTTTTTCTCTCATGCTCACCTTTAACTCTTTCTCTCTCTCTTTTTCTCTCTTTTTTTCATGCTTGGTTTCTCTCGTTTTCCTTCCGAACTATCAGTCTGCCTTACTCCTTCTCTTTCTATCTCATTCTCTGTCCCCCTTTTCCTCCATTCATTTTCTTTCCCTCGAACCGTAGTATCCTCTCTCTTTTTTCATTTCATCGCTGCCTCTCTCTCCTTCTTCCATCCCTCCGTTTTTTCGTTTCCCTCTTACTAACCCTTTCACGTCCCTTCTTCTTATTTTTTCTTCTTTCCCAACGGTTTCAGTCCTCCTCGCTCTCTTTCCCTATTTTTACGTGACCCTGTTTCGTTCCCCTTCCTTCTAAACGTTCTTCTTTCCTTGTTATTGGACTTTATATCCCGGCTTCATCGGTTTCCACCTTACTGATCCTCATGGCGTCTGTCCCATCAAACGCGTGTACTACGAGTTCCACGTACGGGGTTGCATTCGCTCCTTGAATCACCTGGACGCCGTATGAAATTTCTCTCCCTGGCCGGCGGCAGAAAAATCGAGCACAGTCACGTTGGTTTTTCGAGGTCGAGCCACTATCGAGCCGCTGTCCCGTTTCCTCTAATGAAGAATTCATTCGCCAGACCGACCAGATCGTTTGGCCTCGTTAACCTTTGCCACGTGCAACTTTGGCAAATGGAAATAGTTTGGCGCCGGGAGGGATCGTGTAATTTCCTGCTTACGAGCGACTAGCTGCTTGATACTAGGTGCACGGACCTGAAATGAGATACTGGTTAGAATCTTTCATTGACTAACGAGGGGATTTCGCGGGATGTGCCATTTAAAAGACACAGAGATATTCGAAGATTTGTTTCTGTAATTAAGATCTTGTACAAGCATAAGTTTAAGTAGAATCGAAGAAAGTGGAACGCTACTTAAATCATTGAATAGGCAGGTCGCATCGAGGACAGAGCTAATCTCCGCACTGATCTAATCTAACTAAACTAAATGGAATTAAATGAGAGGGAGCTTCGTTAAACGCGATGCAACGCCGCTCGAAATAATTGTCTTTCGCGATTACCGAAGCCATCCGCGCGTCGCGAACATGCGTCCCAGCTACTCGACACGCGTTTTCTCTTCTTCGCCTTGAGTTTCAAGCGATACGAGCAGCTTAATTAATTTGTTCGTGATATCTGTACTCGGTAGCCAAAAGACGCAACGTCGTGGACTGATAAGACCAAATTTGTTACTCGCGGATTGCAAGCGAGAAAATTATTCTGTTAATGAAGTCAATAAAGTGTATTCCTGCAGTGTATAATGGTTTTAGTAAATGATCGTTTATTAATAGACTGCAGATTCTTAATGCAAAGTTATATTTTTGGAAATATAATTAAAAAGATAGAAATTGTGTCAAATATTATAAAAAGCACATATTTTGAATATTTTATATATATTCTTTGCTTTTAATTTTCACACAAATGCGTAAAAATGCACACTCTATTTTAGTTAGTTTAGTTGTCAAAAAAAAAAAAATCTAAACAAAATTACAATTATAAGAGGTTTCATATTATTTTATCATTGGTACTAAACACATTGATAATTGAATTAAATACCTAGACCAGAGAATGCTGAGAATAATTGAATAAGAATGTAAAAGTTGTCGACTGTATAAAGTCGCTATATGTATTATACAGACCGATACAACAAATAGTAATAACAAGTACTTATCAGCAACCTATAAAAAAATTAATCGCTATCAATTCTATTATAAGTAGAACGTCGTCGATTGTTGGAGAAAATCCATCAGTCTCGAATATATTACGTTAGTCTAACGTGCCCGTGATCTTTTCGAAATCTGATTTTCGCGCAAAGTTCCAATGTTCCGTCAAAGAACACCTTGAGATCGCGCAGTGTGAATGAATTCGGAGCTCCGTGGAACCACGGAGTTGGAACCAAGAATGTATCCAAAGAAGATCACGCAAACTAGTCCGAAATTACCTCTCGTTGCGCCATGTTTCGCCACGTCTGGCGAAGTCATGATTTAGAGTCGCTTTAATTGTTTGAAATTCCTTGGAGAACGCCTACTCAGAAACGACCAGGACCGCAGCACACTGTTTCGTTTGTCCGCTTGTGCCTGCTCGAGAGAACCGGGTACGTTCGTTTAAAACCGAAACGGATTTGAGGATACGCGAACGACAAAGGCCACCGCGATCGATCGATAGCAGCACCGTTGACTTCGACAAAGAGGGGGAGGTCGTGGGGGATATCGGCGAGTTACAGAGGGAAGCAGAGACACTTTGATGGAAGACTTTTTCACGATGGAACGGGCCACGATCGTCCAAGGCCTAAGACTTGTCCCAACGGATCGTTAAAAGCCCCGTTAAAAGAAGTTGCTCAAAGTTTCGTAACTCGAAACCGTAACTTGCCATTTGTGTTATGAATGGATAATCGTTTCTTTTGTTCATCGATACGTCACACAATAGTTCCTTTAGCTAGATTTATTTAAAACTATGTTCTTAGGTTGAAAATGTAATAGATATCTTTTATATTTGAACTTTTATTGTCTTATTACATTTGAATACTGAATACTGTTATCAGAACAGAATGTTTGCTAGCAATAAATGCAATTTTCTTCTGCTATTTTCATGCACTAATCGACGAAGCTCATCATTTCCTATTTCAAATTGTACTAAGCTCGTTGCGTTGAAAAATCATTAGTTTAGAAGCTATTTTAATCTCAATTCTATCGTACGAGAGACGAGCAGAAACAAGGGTAACGTTCATGCTGTTCTTGTCTTTCATGCAGATATAATATTTCCTGAATTAATGGTTTTCCGACACGTGTTGAGTAGCTTGATACAATTTTGTAGGAAATAACGAATCGCATCGATTAAAAAAAAGAAATATACCGTTCTACTTAAAAAAAAGTACATAAATTCTTCATATGAAATTTCGTCTAATTTTCTAGTATAATATTAACAGAATCATGTATAGATGTAGTATTGAAGAGTTCATGATATAAAAGATTAATCCTGCTACAACTTTCAAATTGTTATACTTCAATCTTAGTCCCATTTTAGAAAACGAAAAGGATTCATTTCAAATTCGTTTTAAAATTAATCTGAGAAATCACAAACAATGAAGCTCAACCGAGAATTCATGCACATTAACGAGAACATTTTCAGATTATGTTCAAACTGAGGATATTTTTAAATAAATCGAGCGAAAAATGAAAGAACGCAGCAGAGTGGATTTGAAGAAACGTTTCATTAGCTAATGACAGACATTGACACACTCTGTTCCAATTTCTCTCACGAAAGAAATTCATTAACCAGGTTCCGTGAAAATTGGGTAACATTTGACACGGACCTGGTGGCCTCTTTTTTGATAAAAGTGTTAGTACTTTTGGAATTAATGGAACCTGAGCGAAGGAGGTATCTTCATTGACTTTTCATTAATTCTTGGCTAGAAGTGATTCACAGGCTCGTCGGGCCGCGCAGAACCCTATATTACAACACAAACGTAGAAACCACTCGCTGGTTTCTTGGGGTCGTCGTACCTTAGATCGATCTTTCCGGCGAGAAGCGAGCTTTGCCAGGCGGGGTCGGCGTGAAGGCAGTTTCGTCTGGCACGAAACGTTGGTCGTTTCTTTCGTAACGTGGTTATCTTGCCGGTGTGACCGATTCACGATCTCTCGCCGCTTCGAGAGATCGAATAAAGCTGAGCTTTCACGGGCAGAAATCACTAAAACGACTGAAAATCACGTGATTCTCCTGAATATTTCCTTCGTACGTTTTGCAGTGACAGCTTTATGCTTCTTTAATACTTGAACATTACAGGCATTGAAACTTACGCAATTCTACCGTTACATTGGAAGAATATATTTGCAATTTTCGGTTAAATTAAGACATTGCTTTATATATATATATATATATATATAATGAGAATAGAAAACATTTGCACACTGAATAAAAAATCGTTAATACTTTAAACTTTTCTAACTCTATGAAAAAAAAAAAAAAAATGACACAAAGTGAAAACTTCAATCTCCGAAACATTTATCATATTTTATTGAGCGTACAAATATTTTTCACGCCTATTGCATACCAATAATAACGAAATAATGGAGAATTGAATAAAAGTAAATGCATTAAAAAATGTAAAATAAAAGTGGAAAATAACGCAGGTAAATAGCAGTTAATAAAAATTTACGATCGGGATTTTACTTCGGGATTAAGCATCAAATTTTTAAATTTAAGTTACTTTTTAACTGAGATTGTAAGGAAAAAAAGAATGAAGGAAAGTTATTTTTATCGAGAATCCTAGTAGCGAGAATTATAGTTCTATTCGCGTAAAGATATAATTGACGGTTTCATCCCTTTTCCATATATCTGTGCATTGATTTTCTCTACCAACCCTATAAAAATTTTTCCCTCGGAACATGACTTATCGATTACTTGTGAGAGAACCATGCAACTCTCAAGGCCATCATGCTCCATTACTGTAGATCACACAGTAAGTTTTACACGCAAAATTAATTTGTTACTCTATAAATTAAACACAGCGCAAGCAACAACGATGGAAAATTGTTCATTTTATACCGTTCTTCTAAAAGGCTTCTACCTTTTCAGTTTTTTTTCAAAACGAACTTAAAACTGAACTTTTCAAGATGTTTCTACATCATGTAGCGGATGAATGTAAGAATACTTTTATTCTCAAATACTTTAGACGTCTCCGAAAGCATAAAAAAATTTTTTTCACGACTAAACTACGAACATACATTTATGAAACATTTGGAAATAAAAAGAAATTTTTAAATGAAAGACAGACACAGCAAAAGTTTAAGATACAACGATCTTTATAATATTTAACAGATAGAATAAGTTTCTACTTATAATAAGTTTTCTTCGTGAAAAGATACGAAACTCTATAAACATCCGCAGCTCATTCACGAAATTCACCATGATCTTGGACATTGAAATTTTCTCTTTGCAGCAACCTGTTATGGAGCGCGCAAACGATCAATAGATATATATTGTCAATATTTCAAGGTTCTCGACATTCCTGTAAGTAAAAGATCCTCAGACAATCAATATTGACAATGCATATTGATCGTTTTTATATACGGTAATGTTGAAAAGCTTAAACCATTGGCAATACATATTAATCGTCTAAAATCGTCTAAAGACTCTTTTAAAACTTATTGTACAAGATTTTTTCACCATTTCATTGGACTTTGAACATTAAAGTTAGACGGCGAACTATTAGAATTTCTTGGATATCTGTCGTCTAATTTTCTTTTGAATAAAATCATTTCCCAATAACTCTTTCTTTTTATTACACGTTATTTTGTCAAGTTTACCTTTCTTTCAGTAAAAATCATCTTTCTTTTAAAATCAATTTATCTCGAAATGCCTATTAAAACTGCTGCAATTAGAAGACCAATAGTAAATTCATAAATTTTCCACTGTTAAGGGAGAAAAATTCATCGCTTTCTCTTCCTGTTTCTTTTTGTTTGTTTTGTATGTAAGCAATCTGCATACGTCACAATTCGTAATTAGAGAGCTACTAGCAAATTCCTAAATTTTCCATTATAAGAGAAGAATTTCTGTTTTTTCTTTCAATAGTATCGATAACTTTCCCTTTGAAAAGCAATCTACGCGTGTCGGTAAATTGTAATTAATAAATTCGTAAGTTTTCTGTTGTGAGAGAACAAAGATATCGTCATCCTCTGTTTCTATTTTTCTATTTTTTTACTTTTCATCTATTATTTACATACCATTTTCAATCAATAACACGACTTCTGTCCCGGTAACAACGATAGTCTTTCCTTTAAAGGCAACCTATGTATGTACCTGGCAAGACGTGTTAAAATTGCAATTAGACAACTAACGATCGAGCTCATGAACTTTCCATCGTAAGAGAAGGAAAGTTCGTCGTCTTCTCTTTCTGTGAGAGAGCCGAATCGATCGTAGGACGTCGCTAATGCTCGGTATCAGTATTATAATGGCTGGTTTAAAATGGAACACGGTGACCCACATACGAATTCGGAATGGGGTCAGAGAAAATCGCTGGATTTAGGTCAGGGGAATTTAAGTACATCGTAGGAACCCGACGGCGCAGTTTTACGTTGTCCTTCGTGTTTGACGTCATCGATCTCTGCACGCGTCACCCGTTGCATCGTGGGGATTTTATTGTCACCAAGGGAGGAGAATGAGAAACGACGAAGAACGAGCCCGCGAGCGAAAGTCGAAAGAGAAACCGCGGTTGAAACAGTTCGTTCGAAACGAAACGTGACAGGGGCCGCTTGAATAATCCACGACACTGGCAGAAGAGTGAGGATCTGAACTTAGGCACACGGTTTGATTTATCATTTATTTACCATCGAATAATCGATCGCCACGAGACCGTTCCTCTTTTATTACTCCGTGCCACTCTGTCATGCTTCATTCTTATTTTAATTTAGCTCCAAGGCCTTCCGCCAAAATTGTATCGTTGGATGCAAAAAAAGTGTCGGTTACGTTTAAAAATTAAATATTTCTTGTTCTCACAGAGTGCCTCGCCTGATTTTCACAATTTGATTAACAACGATACTGTTACTCGTTGCAAAGAACATTTCAAATGAAGAGTTTGAATAATTTCTAATGTTACTAATCTTTCTCGTGAATTGATATTCGGAATTAAGAAAGATTATGATCAGAAACTTTGTTTTTCTTTTAAATGGAAGTATATATTTTTTAATATATATAATTATTATTAGTTTAGGAGATATTTCAACTTCAATTTTCTAATCATGTAAGAGATAAATATTTAAACTGCTGCGCGTCTATCTGTCTATCCTTCATATGATGGATATATTCATGTCTTTAATTAAATTCATTATATATTTTATCGAAATATTTTAACTGAAATTAAATATTTATACTTTAATTAAACTTAAAATGCTTAATCAATAATTTCGACATAATTAACACTTTTTTTAATAAAAATCGTCGCATTGTATCAATATTGATGTAGTAAAAAATACAATTCTATTTAGAAAAACAAAGTTTTCGATCATGAACATCTCACTCATGAGAAAAACTAATAATTATTAGGATACACATCATTCAACTTTCATCACGTCAAAATCAGATAAGACACTCTCTATATAGTTGCAAGGCTATTTATAATATTAAAAAATACTTCTCCCTATCAGAGTCATCAACATAGTCTAAGTTACATATTAATAGTACAGAGCACTGATATGAGAGTCTTGAATTCCTTCCTCTCTATCCTGCAATGTCACATTAGGAATGAATACTGCTTTCCTTCAATTTATTTCGCAATAAC